AATTAAACTGATTGAAGGATTATGTCTTCATCATACGAATATCAGACACAATCCTTCCCGTTAGGGGTTTAGTATCATACCATCATAACATATATGAGAAGAACATAACCCGTGTCATGCCAACAACTGGTTTTTAAATAAATGTGTTTAGTGCCGATGCAAAGACCCTATAAGTGAATCAATATTAACGTCAAAATATGCAATGTTTAATGACCTGACAACAGTATCTAACTATATCCCTTCTTAATAAGTCTATTTAAAGGTTTTGTTAGCTTCAGAGGTGAATACTGACATTTTTGTGCTTTATAAAGAATATTTCCATAAAAAAATTGGATGTGAAATACCTGAACGTATAAGAAGTCTGCATGTTGAGCTATATTTACGAATGATTTCCTTATACCGATGATAAAATTTAGTAAATGTTTTGACTAGTTTGTGATATCGAAAACCCTGGTGTAATAATTTTTCAGTAATACATAAATTTCTCTCGTTAAAATCTAAAACATTGTTACATACACGAGCGAATCGTACAAGTTGAGATATATAAACACCGTAAGATGGTGACAAGGGAACGTCACCATCTAAAAATGGATAATTAACGATAGGAAATGAAAAATCATCTCTTTTATCATATATTTTAGTATTAGGCTTTCCGTTAATGATATAGATATCAAGATCGAGGAAAGGGCAGTGGTCATTGTAAGTATTGTTAGAATCTACATCATAGTTGTGGATAGATATAATAGAGTCTACATCATAGTTGTGGATAGACATAATAGATAGAGTCTACATCATAGTTGTAGATAGACATAATAGAGTCTACATCATAGTTGTGGATAGACATAATAGAGTCTACATCATAGTTGTAGATAGACATAATAGAGTCTACATCATAGTTGTGGATAGACATAATAGATAGAGTCTACATCATAGTTGTGAATAGACTTAATAGAGTCTACATCATAGTTGTGGATAGACATAATAGAGTCTACATCATAGTTGTAGATAGACATAATAGAGTCTACATCATAGTTGTAGATAGACATAATAGATTGAGTCCACATCATAGTTGTGGATAGACATAATAGAGTCTACATCATAGTTGTGGATAGACATAATAGAGTCTGCATCATAGTTGTGGATAGACATAATAGATAGAGTCTACATCATAGTTGTAGATAGACATAATAGAGTCAACATCATAGTTGTGGATAGACATAATAGAGTCTACATCATAGTTGTAGATAGACATAATAGAGTCTACATCATAGTTGTGGATAGACATAATAGAGTCTACATCATAGTTGTAGATAGACATAATAGAGTCTACATCATGGTTGTGGATAGACATAACAGATCGAGTCTACATCATAGTTGTGAATAGACATAATAGAGTCTACATCATAGTTGTAGATAGACATAATAGATTGAGTCCACATCATAGTTGTGGATAGACATAATAGAGTCTACATCATAGTTGTGGATAGACATAATAGAGTCTGCATCATAGTTGTGGATAGACATAATAGATAGAGTCTACATCATAGTTGTAGATAGACATAATAGAGTCTACATCATAGTTGTGGATAGACATAATAGAGTCTACATCATAGTTGTGGATAGACATAGTAGAGTTTACATCATAGTTGTGGAAAGACATAATTGAGTCTACATCATAGTTGTAGATAGACATAATAGAGTCTACATCATAGTTGTGAATAGACATAATAGAGTCTACATCATAGTTGTGGATAGACATAATAAATAGAGTCTACATCATAGTTGTAGATAGACATAATAGAGTCTACATCATAGTTGTGGATAGACATAATAGAGTCTACATCATAGTTGTGGATAGACATAATAGAGTCTACATCATAGTTGTGGATAGACATAATAGAGTCTACATCATAGTTGTGCATAGACATAATAGAGTCTACATCATAGTTGTGGATAGACATAAAAGAGTCTACATCATAGTTGTAGATAGACATAATAGAGTCTACATCATAGTTGTAGATAGACATAATAGAGTCTACATCATAGTTGTGAATAGACATAATAGAGTCTACATCATAGTTGTGGATAGACATAATAGATAGAGTCTACATCATAGTTGTAGATAGACATAATAGAGTCTTCATCATAGTTGTGGATAGACATAATAGATAGAGTCTACATCATAGTTGTAGATAGACATAATAGAGTCTACATCATAGTTGTAGATATACATAAAAGAGTCTACATCACAGTTGTAGATAGACATAATAGAGTCTACATCATAGTTGTGAATAGACATAATAGAGTCTACATCATAGTTGTGGATAGACATAATAGATAGAGTCTACATCATAGTTGTAGATAGACATAATAGAGTCTACATCATAGTTGTAGATAGACATAAAAGAGTCTACATCATAGTTGTAGATAGACATAATAGAGTCTACATCATGGTTGTGGATAGACATAATAGAGTCTACATCATAGTTGTGGATAGACATAATAGAGTCTACATCATAGTTGTGGATAGACATAAAAGAGTCTACATCATAGTTGTAGATAGACATAATAGAGTCTACATCATAGTTGTAGATAGACATAATAGAGTCTACATCATAGTTGTGGATAGACATAATAGAGTCTACATCATAGTTGTGGATAGACATAATAGAGTCTACATAATAGTTGTGGATAGACATAAAAGAGTCTACATCATAGTTGTAGATAGACATAATAGAGTCTACATCATAGTTGTGAATAGACATAATAGAGTCTACATCAAAGTTGTGGATAGACATAATAGATAGAGTCTACATCATAGTTGTAGATAGACATAATAGAGTCTACATCATAGTTGTGGATAGACATAATAGATAGAGTCTACATCATAGTTGTAGATAGACATAATAGAGTCTACATCATAGTTGTAGATAGACATAATAGAGTCTACATCATAGTTGTGGATAGACATAATAGATAGAGTCTACATCATAGTTGTAGATAGACATAATAGAGTCTACATCATAGTTGTGGATAGACATAATAGATAGAGTCTACATCATAGTTGTAGATAGACATAATAGAGTCTACATCATAGTTGTAGATAGACATAAAAGAGTCTACATCATAGTTGTAGATAGACATAATGGAGTCTACATCATAGTTGTGGATAGACATAATAGATAGAGTCTACATCATAGTTGTGAATAGACATAATAGAGTCTACATCATAGTTGTGGATAGACATAATAGAGTCTACATCATAGTTGTAGATAGACATAATAGATAGAGTCTTCATCATAGTTGTGGATAGACATAATAGAGTCTACATCATAGTTGTGGATAGACATAATAGATAGAGTCTACATCATAGTTGTGGATAGACATAATAGAGTCTACATCATAGTTGTAGATAGACATAATAGAGTCTACATCATAGTTGTGGATAGACATAATAGAGTCTACATCATAGTTGTGGATAGACATAATAGAGTCTACATCACAGTTGTGGATAGACATAATAGAGTGTACATCATAGTTGTGGATAGACATAATAGAGTCGACATCATAGTTGTAGATAGACATAATAGAGTCTACATCATAGTTGTGAATAGACATAATAGAGTGTACATCGTAGTTGAGGATAGACATAATAGAGTGTACATCATAGTTGTGGATAGACATAATAGAGTCTACACCATAGTTGTAGATAGACATAATAGAGTCTACATCATAGTTGTGGATAGACATAATAGATAGAGTCTACATCATACTTGTGGATAGACATAACAGAGTCTACATCATAGTTGTGGATAGACATAAAAGAGTCTACATCATAGTTGTGGATAGACATAATAGAGTCTACATCATAGTTGTGGATAGACATAATGGAGTCTACATCATAGTTGTGGATAGACATACTGGAGTCTACATCATAGTTGTGGATAGACATAATGAAGTCTACATCATAGCTGTAGATAGACATAATAGAGTCTACATCATAGTTGTGAATAGACATAATAGAGTCTACATCATAGTTGTGGATAGACATAATAGTAGACATAATAGAGTTTACATCATAGTTGTGGATAGACATAATAGATAGAGTCTACATCATAGTTGTGGATAGACATAATAGAGTCTACATCATGGTTGTGGATAGACATAATAGAGTCTACATCATATCATAGTTGTAGATAGACATTATAGAGTCTACATCATAGTTGTGGATAGACATAATAGATATGGACAAATATAAATGTCCGCTGAATTTACTTCATAAGCAAGGTAATCTTTCCTGAAGTTTAAAGCATTAAATTTTCACGTGTGTATGTGTACATTGAGGATCTGACATATATTGTTATATGTATAAGGACAAATGAGCTGCATCTAATACCCCTAAAAGCCGTATTACTGGTACATTTTTATCTATAAGGTTAAAAGGAAGTAAATAAAGATGACCGACACCACCTAGTATTTACATCCAAGATAATAGCTAGAAGTTAATTTATTTGCTGCTGCCCTGTTAATAAGAAAATAAAATTGAAATAGTGAGAAATTAATGTTGGCTATTGGTGTAAAAAATAACGAGAAATTTGGAGGAAACTCTTTCTGAGTGGCAAACTTTTCGTTGCAAAATTAAGCAAGGGATGTTCTTCATTCATACTATTTCGAAAATTCCGGAACCATAGAGTACCCTTAAAAAATACCATTGTTCAATCAAAAAGGCTGCGGCATCATGTGTTTTGCAGTTTTATTTAAACCAAAAGGCGTTGAAAATTCAGAATTTGAGTTTTTTCAACGGTTTTTTATAGTGTAAATCTGAGATTACTATAACAGTCACTATAGTAATCTTAGTAAAAACGCAGAAACCCAAAAGGCTACCATTGTTGCCTATGTAAATGATTACTTCATTGTAACCATAAACACAAAACCAGAGCTATGTATAAACACAAACACGTGTTAACGGTAAACAAACATTTGACCGATGTGACCAATAACTTTAATAAATATATGTTTACCTGTACGGAATACCGGTTGAATGCCATTGAAAGGCGGGGCTACCTGTACCTGATTGAAAAGTGTGTGTACATTTTTGTACCTAGCTAATCCATTGTGATATTTGTACTTCGGTAAGGCATGTAATTTCTTTTTAAAGACTGGTTTGTTGTTTTTATTTCATTTTTATCTGCAATGTTTTGATTTGCCTTTACACATGTTGTTTTCAGGTCTTTGTTTTACATGTAAGGTTTTACTTCACAAATAACGAATGTCCAATGCGGGTACCCTGTAAACATTTTTGTTGAAAAGTGTTCTTCATTTAAATTTTTAAAAAAGTTTTGAAAGGTTGAAAAAAAATTGAAAATGACAACACTCATTTCAAACATTCTTGAAGATAACAGTAAATGAATACTATGATATCATTTATCTACTTTGCTCACTGCGATCTACAGTAATAATTCACTCTCTTTCAGATAATAAAAATATTCGTGAAAATTTCAGAAAAAGACAAGAATACAGAAAAAAGTTTGATAGATAGCCATTTGCTTGACTATTATACATAAATATTAAATATAATTCATCCAACGTGTTTTATATAATGTTACCAAAAAGAATGCAATAAATATAGGATTATAGTTCATTCCTTTTCGTCTAACATATTCATAATCAATGAACTATAAAATTAAATCTATGTAATATGTTTAGTACAATTCATTATAAGTCATGTGTTTAAAGTCATTTTCTATCAAACTTACACATAAACCTATTGAGTAGGACAAAATATAAAAAAATATGTAAACGAATATGTAGTTAATAGTGCTGACTTTGGAGGAGCTTTCCCCCTTTTTTGTGTATCCTCTACAAAAAAAAAGAATAAAGCGAGGTCAAAATATAATTTCTTATTACAAATGTCCTTCTTGTTAATTGTATCCCCCACTACAAAAACACTAGGTACACATTCCAAGTATGAGAACGTACTAGAACCACTGCTTGACATTTTTTGCTCCAAATATACTAGTATATGTTTTCCACATCTATTCCCTTTGAGCCTACCTTTAGATACGAAAAATATTTGTCTCGCTTTACAGCTGTACAATTTCAATTATGTTATCGGTATTTAATGTTTGCTATTTACATTTTTTGGAAGGTCTACATACTTTTTTATTTTTTTTTTTAATATTTTACATTTTGTCATGCATGGGTCTTTAAGACCTTACTATACGCTATGGGTTTAGACCACACGGTGGACAAAAGTTATTAACATCCTCGTCCTTCGGTCACAGGTCGATATAAAGTTGTTCCATTAGCAATCATACCACATCTCCTTATTTTTTAACATTTTAAAATAAGAAGATGTGGTATAATTGCCGATGAGACAACTCTCCACTAGAAACCAAACGACATAGAAGTTACCAACTATAGGTCATCGTACGGCCTTCATCAATGAGCAAAACCCATACCGCATAGTCAGCTATAAAAGGCTCCGAAATGACAAATGTAAAACAATTTAAAAGAGAAAACTAACGGCCTGTTTTATGTAAAAAGGAATGAACGAAATACAAATATGATATACAGCAACAAACGACAACCACCAAATACAGGCTCCTGGCTTGGGACAGGCACATACAGAATGTGTCGGGGTTAAACATGTTAGCGGGCGACAAACCGTCCCCTAACCTGGGACAGTAGTGTAACAGTACAACATATGAACAAAATATAAAATCAGTTGAAAAAGTTTTAACTCATCAGATCGATAAAAAGCATAAAATCAAGTAACAAAAACACAGACCGAACGTGGCAGGGTATTTATACATCCCTACATCAAAAAAAATACACTAAGTACAGATCTGAGTTTGTATAGGTTGCACTTTGTAAATACAGCTGTTTCATTATATGCAATCGAATTACAAATCTTAGAAATGATGATGATAATAATAATAATAATAACAATTGTTTAAAATTAGATTTTAATTATCATTATCGACAAACCTTGTAAACAACATTTTGACCCAAGTAAATGTAAGTACGGCTCAATTACGATTGCTGGTACTATTTATCATGTGTATTTACAAATCATAATGATTAAATAGTTTAGTACAAATAAAAATATACTATAATACAGTAAACCTTCACATTAAACTTTTTTATCAATACATTATGTTAACTGGTGAACTGTTATCACAAAAGAGGCTTTAGGCTGAAATGTTGTTTTTTATCAGACGATTTGTGCACAAAATAAATAGTGTTTTCTTTCATGCAAGCCTTTCCGATTTCATGTGAGATATCAAATGACGTTGCCTTTCTTCCTCCAGCCATTTATAAAAATATTATGTTCATAATTTCTTAATTTAAAATGGTTACAAACTTAACAAAAAAATCAAAAGAAGAAGAAGATGTGGACACCCACTTTTTCATAATTCGTACAATTTAAGGTTCGACCAATTGATTTTACTGTGGGTGATGATGTAGGATTATTTGCATTTGGATTCGATTTCAATTCAATTCAATTCAAAGTTTTATTTAAAGTCGATATTCAATCAACTACATAAACACAAGCTCTAGTGAGCTTTTCAAATCGACTGAATAACAAAATATATATACACACATACAAAAGTCATGAAAACAACACAATTTTAAACATACAGTGCATAGTAAGATACCATAGATGACATATAAAAGTTAAAAGCATAGTATGTAAGAAAAGTTTATCTTAAAACATAGAAACATAGCACAAGTTAGGAATAATAAGCACAAATTAAATAGTCACACAACAAAATAAAAAATAAAAAAAGCACAGACATGAAACACTATATGCACGCACTGCACTGGCATGAGCTGTTATTTGGATCCCATGTTTGTACCATTTTTTTTTAATTGGTCAAAAGATGTTTCCATTCGACAATGGTTCGGCAGCTCATTCCAGATTTGTGCAGCATTATAGCGAAACGATCTTAAACCATACCTGGTAGTTCTGACTCTCGGGAGTACTGCTGTTTTCTGTGATCTTAAATCATACTCATTAATTTTGATATCAATTAAATCATGAAGATAGCTTGGACTTTTTTTGTGAATTATTTTAAAAGTTTCTATTGCAATAGTTTTTATTCTTCTTATTTTTAAAGAAGGTAATTTTGACTTTTCTTGCAGTCTTTCGTATGAATCTAAGTGCTCTTTCTTGAATTTTTTCCATTTAAAAAAAATTTCGCTACAGTAGTGCCAAATTACTGGACAAACGTTAAAATTGGAAAGAATGAATAAGTAGTATGCTGTTAACCTACCTAGCCTGTTTAAATATTTACCCATTCGTTTTAGAATATTCAATTGTCTTGCTGCCTTTTTACATATTTCAGATATATGATTGTTAAAGTTTAAGTCCGAATCTATTGTTATTCCAAGAAGTTTAACATTTTCTTCACAAGAAATTTTGTTTCCATTTAAGTCAAATGTCAAATTATGTTTATTTGGTTTTTTTTCCAATGGCTATAGCCTGGAATTTGCCAGGATAAGCCTTCATTAAAATAAAAAACCAGTTTATCAGCTTTAAACTATCAGTTTCTAAACTTTCAACACCTTTATCTATATCATGATCACTATATGATACAGTGTTATCATCAGCATAATTATAAATGGTGCTATTTTGTATAAAATGAAATATGTCATTTATGAAGACATTGAAAAGAACTGTACCAAGAATTGACCCTTGTGGTACACCTTTAAATAAACGATTCCATTCACTGTAAGAACTTCCAGTTTTGATATGCTGTTTTCTGTTTTCTAAATAACTTTGTGATAATTTTAGAGAATTTTTAGACAGACCATATGCTTCCAATTTTAGTGAAAGTAAATCGTGCGGCAAACAATCAAATGCTTCTGATAGATCCATCAAAATTGTAGCAATAAATTTGTTGTCGTCCAGAGCTTTTTTCCGGTCTTCTATTATTTTAATAAGTGCTGTTTGGCAACCAAAACCTGACCTAAATGCCGAAAGAAGAGGATGAAAATGTTTATTTTAGAATTCAATTAATTGATCATGTAAAGCTCTTTCATAAATTTTGGAAATACATGGCAACACACTTACAGGTCTAATAGTTTTCTTTATCTAGAGAGTTATTCAGAGGATATCTGAGCAGCTTTAATATTATCTGGAAAAATTGAACTTTCAATTGATTTATTAACTTAAATTTTAATAAGATATGATATTACTGGTTGTGCAATTTTTATAATTTTTGGTGAAATACTGTCATATCCAGTAGCTTTTCTTATATTTAAACTATGTATTTGTTTACTCACAAGCTCTTCTGTTACAGGTTTAAAATTTTAAAATTCAACTCATTATAATCAGTTTTATTTTCTTCGATTTTTATTATACTTGGGGGATTTCTGTCTAACTTAATGTTTTTGTCTCCTATATCTTTAGCTACATTTATGAAAAATTTATTGAAAATTTCTGATACCTCTTTAGGTATTTTTTATGTAAATTGTAGTTTCGTACTCCGTACCGATCTATTGAGTTAAGCTCTTTGCAACTGATTTTTATTGTTTGTTCTTATGATGTGCTGTTACACCGCTGTCCAAGGCTATGGGAAGAGTTGGGCGCTCACAAACATGTTTAACACCTTCGCATTCTTTATGTGCATTCTCAAGTCAGAAGCCTGTGATTTTGTGGTTGTCGTTTGCTCATGTCTGTCATATTTGTTTTTCGTATATTGAATTGTTATAAATTAGGCAGTTACATGTAGTTTCCTTTTTTTGACTTGTTTCTCATTTTTCCTGATGACCATACGGTATATGTTTATTCTCATTGTTGAAGGTTGTACGATGTCAATAAACTGCTTACTTCTACGCTTCTGTGGAGTAGGATCTGCTAACTCTTCGGGAGCACCTGAGATCACCCCCAGTTTTTGGTGGGGTTCGTGTTGCTCAGTCTGGTTTTCTATATTGTGTTTTGTGTACTGTTGTTTGTTTGTCTTTTTCTTTTTAGCCATGGTGTTGTCAGTTTATTGTGAGTTTGAATGTCCTTTTGGTATCCTTCACCTCTCTTTTATTTGACCTCTTGTGGATAGGTTTCTCATTGGCAATCATATCACATCTTCTTGTTTTATATTCAAACGTAATTATCATTTTAAATGAATAAAATTTATTGATAAGACAGTAATTATAGTCTATCTTTAGTTAAACAATAGTCACATGTTTAAAACAAAGTTTTTATAGTTTATTATTGTCAGAATGGATAGAGGACGTACTATATAACGTGTGAATCCCAAAGGTTTATATGATTTAAAAATCAAAAAGTTTAATTTAAAATTTAAAAAGTTTAAGAATGGTTAAGAACAATGTATCGAAAATGTAAAATGCACAGGGGGTCATAGAGATACCTGCGTTATTAATAGTATATATCGCTGTAACTATAAATGTCCGCATCAAGTAATTTAACTTTATGATAATGGGACGTGTGTTTAGCGATCTTGATTGGCTATTAAGCCCTCGCCCTTAATTTAACTTAAACATATCAAATATGATAAAAACTTCTAATTATAGTATTGCTTTTGGCAGTTTGTCAGCTTATTATCCTCTTAGATAGATCAGTTAATTATCATTTTCTGTGTTGTTTTATTTCTAGGTGTTTAAAGCATACAACAAACATTAAAGTTGTGTCTATTTTATGATTTTATAGCAGTGGTTTGACTTGATTGTTACTAGATCACACATTACACCAGGATGCAAATGACAGACGTTATTCTCACTCAGCCGGGTGAGTTTTCTTGAATACTATAACTAATACTCTTGTTTTTTTTTTAACCACATAAACTACAACAACATATTCATACACATAAAAATAAAACCTACGATATATGGGCAATAAGCTTACCTCCTGATCGATGATAAATAACATATAGTTATCCTTCCGGAGTACCTGAGATCACCCCCGGTTTTTGGTGGTGTTCGTGTTGCTATTCTTTAGTTTTATATCTTGTGTTTTGTATACTGTTGTTTGTCTTTTAATCTTTTTTATTCATTGCCATGACGTTGTCAGTTTATATTTGATTTATGAGTTTGAATGTCCCTTATGCATCTTTCACCTCTTTCTTATATAGAACTTTTGAAGTGCAATAAATATGTTTTTTTTCCAGGACAAGATAAAAGGGGATTTCCAGACAGTGGCGTAGCCCCGCCTCCGGGATGTCCTCCTGGACTGGAGTATTTGGCCCAGATGGATGAGATATATGTCAATCAGAAAGTCGATCTTTTAGAAAGTATGTTCATGTATATGTTACAGGCGTTTTCTAAATTTAGGCATTTTGTAACATGACTGAATTTTTAGGCAATTTATAAAATGACTAACCTTGACAAGCATTATATAAAATGACTAAAAATACCTATAGTCAGTTTGTAAAATGACTAAAATTTTAAAACAAAATTCAACAAATTACCTGTTCAGTTTCAGGCAATTTGTAGAAAAAGGAGATACATATGACAAAAAAGTGGACAAAAACATCTAATGGTATGATAGAATTAATGTATTCTTCAAAAACCAGCTTGGAAAGTTTGTATGTCATATAGTATGTTCTTTTTAGTGAAACTACGTTAAGCATGTTCTCACTTTGTATTTCAGTTAGTAAATTTATTGTCAAAATGGCAGAAGGACAAATTGTTCTTTCAATAGAACAAAATTTACAAATTTTTAGAAATAAAGCAGAGAAAAATAAGTTTGTTTTTGATTGACTGATTGCTGTTTGTTTGCTTTCAGTTGCAAATATTTCATGCATTCTTAAGACGAGAATAATTTGGTTATAATTCATATAGGTTATTATTGCAGTGGATTAACCTGGATAAAGAACTGGAATTTCGACTGCCGCTTGAAATGAATGTATTTTTGATAGGGACAGAAAATTCTACCTGCAGAACGGTCAAAGAGTTCTCAACGTACAGAGAGTGTTGCACTTACTAACATGCGGAAATATAGTTAATGTCCCCATTCAGACAAAAAATGAGAATTTATACATCCACATCCAAACAAATTCCTCTCTATAGCATGGGTTTCGCCATACAAGGCGGTGTTTGGTTGTGATGCAAAGATATGAGTATCTTCATCTTCACTGCCTCAAGGAAATTCTTGGGCCTTTGCAATCTGATGAATTAATGAGACAGTAGTTAACTGTCTATAAAATCTCTAAAATCGACGAAGAAGAGACAAATAACGGTGCATTGATAAGGTAAGCGTCTCCTGCTATAGATGCATCACCCGTCATCTGCAGATCTGCTTCAGTCCGTTAAAAGATACAAGTCAAACTAATCATGATAATGTACTTTGAATCCTTTGGGAACGGAACATATGAAAAAGAAGATATGCATGTGTGACGTGTGTGCCTTTTGCGAAACCCAATGTTGTCGAAAGTGAAGTGTTTTATCAGAAAAGGTTATGAAAAAGCTAAATGTGTCATGATCCAGGTTTCTCCAAATGTGGTCGAAGTGCTAAAACCAGATTTTACGCCAAACAATGTAATTGCAAAAAATCAGGACAAATATTGTGTAACAGTTCTGTCATCCAAACATTTTAAGAAATAACAAATAATTGTCGAGTTCTGTGCTAGTGTGAATTTGGAATAATTCAGTAAAACTTATTTTTGATTATCAAAACTCTTAAATTGCAAGCTTTAACATTCAGTAATTACATAAATAAAACTGCTCTGTTGCACAAAGCTTTCAATTGTTTTTTTAACATTGCATTCTATAAAATAATTTCAGGCATTTTATAAAATGCCTAGAAAAATTAGTCATTATGTAAAATGCCTGAATCTTGTAGGAATTTTAGAAAATGCCTAAAGTTTTAAGGCATTTTACAAAATGCCTAAATTTAGAAAATGCCTGTAACATATATAAACTTTGCCTCTTATTGGCATTGATGAAAAGGGTTGGCGAGAGATATATTATTTTCTTCTGACCTAGAACATAAAGTCTTAAAAAAAAGTTTACAATCGGGGCTTAAACAATCAGCCATTAAACATTAAGTAAACAAAGTCTTCTGATTAAAATACATAATTGGTCTAAGACTTAAAAGCAATTCAAAAGTGCACACGCGCGAGTGTGTGTGTGTGTGTTTGTGTGTGTGTATTTGAAGATAGATCTTTAGAACTAATATTTTTTAGAGTGAATTAGAATAAATTTAAAGTGTATAGAAGTAGTTTATGTGTACAATTAATCTAATCCAATCATATTTATTTTTAGTTTGTTGTTTTGTTCATAAATCATGTCGTTGGATTCCTAGTTTGAATGGTTTTACATTGTCATGTCGGTGCCTCTTTTATGGCTTGCTATGCGGTATGGGTTTTGCTGATGTTGAAGGTTGTACGGTGTCGTATAGTTGCTATAACATCTGTGTAATTTGATCCCTGTTGAATAGTTGTTATTGTCAATCATACTACATTTTCTTTTTCATTTCTGATCTGAATATTATTTTTTTTTGTTAAACATATTGTTCGTCTTTTACAGTGATAACAGATTCAGCAATAGAAATTCCAAACCGGTATAGCATAGAAAACCACAGTGGACAGAGAGCTTATTTTGCCCAAGAAGGTGAAATAACATATAAATTACACAAACTTCTTTAAAAATATACAAAGCTCGAAAAGAACACTTACAAAAATACTCTTTCAATGTTAAAATACATAAATTTTAACATGGTATAAAAAAAAAATGATCGAGTATAAAATAGGATCACACAGACAAGTTTTCGATCATTTTCAATCTTATACATGTACATGTATTTCCAATTAATAAATCAAAGAAAGTAATTAGAACAATTGCCCATTTCGATTCTGAACTTTGTTGGAACATTGCAAGTAACGGAAACGGTTGACGTGTTTTCCCTTCTATACAATGATGATAAGAAATACAATGACGTCCATAATACTTTAGAAGATGACACATTTTCCCCATTTGGATTTCAAAGTACAATTGTATTTTTAAAAAAAAGTTTGAAGATATTGATTTTAGACATTATACATCAAGAAAGAGTAATTCTATTCATTTTTGAAAATAATGAAGAAATATGAATGACTTATTATAGAAATTTCTTCTTATTTAGAGTCAGAGTGTTGTAATCGAATGTGTTGTGGTCCAGACCGAGGTTTTATTATGCACATAACAACTAATGACGGCAGGGTAAGATATATATTAACATTGATGAACAAGGAAAAAAGGGGGTCCGTAATTATATCGTCAATATCCACGTGATATAGAAACAAATTCGAAACGAAATGTGGAGTTTTGACCCCAAAACCTTTTGGGTTTGCCAATTCCAGGAAGAGCCTCAATCCCTTTTTTATTGCAAATGCGTTTTTATTATAGATTTGTCTTTATGTTTTACTACCAATCCCCTTATTGTCAGTGGGACATCTCCTTCCCCTTTCCCCATTTTGAAAATCCGCCACTAAATGCTGTCAAGCCAGAACGCAATCTTCTTACAAATGTAGGTGAATAAGAGACTTTCAACATAACAATGTACCAGTGCACTATACATTGTGACCTTTGTTTTCAAATGTTAAAGTCTTAGTCATATGGCTTTGTTTGCAATGTAACCATGGCAATGGAAATTTACTGTTTCTGTTTGTTTTCCTGCATTTTCTTTTTTACTTATTTTGCTTTTTTACTATCAATGTTCCAACCCCTTGCAATCGCATTTTCAAAAAATGAAACAAATAAAAAATCAGCATAAACACCGTCAAAAATGACGAAATGAGAATGCGAAGTAATATATTGTAGGACCAGGGGACAGGGTGTTAACAATGGACTTCATTTCCAGTCACTTAACTACGATAACTCGGATTCTTTCGTTTTACTCTTTATATTTGTTAAATAAAAGTAAATGTATTATCATTAAGAATTAACAATAATCGTTTTAATAAATTGTTTGTAATTATACTGCCTTTCTAAGATTATTGTATTGTATTGTATTGTAATATAAATGTATTTTTTAATGTGTGTTTAACAGTCTCTCAAAATATTGTGTTTCATATCAAATGTTTTAAAGAGGTGAGACTCTAATAACTGAGTTTGTTTGTTTGTTTAGTTCGACATCTTTTACAGGAAGTAATTCGGTGCGAAAGAAAATTTAAATGGTGTGCAGGGTGTTGCTGGTGTGCAGATAGTGAGACATGCGGATGGGAAATGACAGTTGAGGCTCCAGTAGGGACTGTCATCGGATATATTCGACAACAGTAAGTTGGTTTTTCTACAGTAGAAACAAATGTTTTTATAGGAATAATGTAACCGGGAAAAAGTGACGATGATGAACTTTTATTAAGAATTCGAAAAGTGCTTAATACTGTGGTTTTAATTTTTTTTAATTTCATAGGTGTCTAAATATAATAAACGCCGAATTTGATTATTGATCCCAACCATTTACAAGTTAATCTGATGTCAGTTAAAAGTGCAAATTACAGTCTTTTTATACTCGTCAACCTCAAAGAATAAATATCGCTATTTTATGAAGTTTGGCCTGAGAACACCAATCCGATTATTATTATATAAGATGGGATAATAATACTATGCAGATTTTATAAAGAATTGTTACACTTAGATTTCGTTTCTTATAATTAATTTTGAATGAATGAATTGATTGTTTTTATAAGCTGTTGCATTGTCAGTCTTTCCCTGTATTTCAAACTGTAAACATGTGTAAATAAATTAGTATTGAAAACGGTGTTTCGTTTAACGCCGCCACAGTGTCATTTATAGACCAAACAGACTTTAATGTAGGCCCATGGATTTACGGGAACACAGCAACCCAATTACACAAATAATCAAGCCATCAAAGGTCAACCTTCTGTCTTATAATTTTCATAATAAAGGACTAATATAAAACTTATACTAACAATGTGTTTTGCTCCTGCATTTATTCTCAAGTCATGTTTAATCAACCGCACAAACATCTTAAAATCATTTATAATTCAAAACAAATATATATATACGATTTAAAACCACAGTAATGTTAATATTAAGCACTTTCAGAATTCTTATTCATAGTTCATCAACGTCATATTTTCCCGGTTATGGAGAGTTGTCTCATTGGCACTCATACCACATCTTCTTATATCTATATAATGCTATTTCTGAAGTTTCTTAAGTGGCAATATATGGTTGTTTTGAAGTTTTAGAATTTAATAGAACATTTGATAAGAATAAGAATGATTTCATCCAATACAAGTACCGTTAAAAGTTCATTATCTTATAAAAAAAAGTTTTTGAATTTATAGACCCCACACACTGTTATTGTATACTTTTGTTAATACCTTTGTCAATGCGTGTCTGCATTTCAATGAGAGAAATATCGTTTTGGTCCAGAGTAGATCTTTCTGCATTTTATGATATTACACTAATATTTCAATTCACTAGCTCATCTAAATGGAAGACTCATCTCACACTGTACGACGCCAACCGTCAGAAGTTGTATGATATTTGGAGTAAATGTTGCCCAATTTTCTGTGTTTGTTGTATTGATGACATTAATTTTCATGTAAGTATACATTACTGTAACAGTAAACAAGAAATATCAAAACACTAAAATGTTTATTGTCAAAAAACTCTCAGAATTGTTGTTCTCCAATTGGAGATGGGTGCGCAAGCTCCGACCTTTCTTGGACTAATTGTCAAATCAACAGTAAATCATTGGAACTGTAAATATTTTTCATTCACATATAATATTTGTTATTTTCTTGTCGTAGCCAGTTTTCTATTCACAGCAATAAAAGATAATTCTTGTACAATGTATCACACTAGCTGAACGGAGCGTGATATGAATAAATTATATCATAAATGTATGGAAAGCCAAAGTAGTCAAACTTAAAGTTCAACCTTGCAAATCGTAATTTGTAACTAGAATGTAACTTTCTTACTTTGCAATCCTTAGTTTGTAACAGTGCAACTTGTAAGAAGAAAGTCCGAGAATTGAAACTGTTTAAGTTTGAAATTCTAACTTTGATGTTCAATAATTTCTACATTACGTCATGTATGTATTATAGTATTTTGTGATTGCGAAATTTGCATCATTAAATATTTGTTATATGCATCATTAATATGCGAAATTTGAAGAATAACAAAACTTGTACGTCCTGTGGAAATCGGTTTATGTACTTGACGGCTCAAGTTTTAAGCTTTTCTGCGGTCACGGGAGAAGATACAGACTGGTAAATGAAAAGATATGGGACAACTGTGCATGCGACATCGTATAACATAACAATTACATTTTTTTTTTTAAGTTTCTGTTTTTTATTTAGTTCATAAAACAGGCTCGCCATTTGATGGGAACATATATTATAATTTGATATCTTTCTTATGTATATACCCGTTTATAGAATTATGATAAAATGCTTTTTCTCTTATTTTGTATTTATATCGGATTATCCTTCTGGGAGCCCCAATCAATAATCAAAGTTTGTTGTCATTATACATTGTATTATAATTAATTATGACACCTCCATATTTATTTAACAGTTTACCTCATAATAAATATTTTATAAAAAAATCTTTTAATATTGTTCAACTTCCAATTACAATCTAAAATAAAAATATTTATGACAGCTTGAAAAAGCCTGGGTTTTTGTCGAGCCTGCGACTTTTGTCGCAGAAAGCTCGACATAGGGATAGCGATCCGGCGGCGGCGGCGGCGGCTACGGCGGCGGCGGCGGCGGCGTTAGCTAACTTCTTAAAAGCTTTATATTTTAGAAGGTGGAAGGTCTGGATGCTTCATACTTTGTATATGGATGCCTCATGTTACGAAGTTTCCGTCAGTCACATGTCCAATGTCCTTGACCTCATTTTCATGGTTCAGTGACTACTTGAAAAAAAAGTTAAGATTTTTTGTAATGTTAGATTCTCTCTTATTATAAGTAATAAGATAACTATATTTGGTATGTGCGTACCTTGCAAGGTCCCCATGCCCGTCAGACAGTTTTCACTTGACCTCGACCTCATTTCATGGATCAGTGAACAAGGTTAAGTTTTGGTGGTCAAGTCCATATCTCAGATACTATAAGCAATAGGTCTAGTATATTCGGTGTATGGAAGGACTGTAAGGTGTACATGTCCAACTGGCAGGTGTCATCTGACCTTGACCTCATTTTCATGGTTCAGTGGTTATAGTTAAGTTTTTGTGTTTTGGTCTGTTTTTCTTATACTGTATGCCATAGGTCTACTATATTTGGTGTATGGAATGATTGTAAGGTGTACATGTCTAGCGGGCAGGTGTCATTTGACCTTGACCTCATTTTCATGGTTCAGTGGTAAAAGTTAAGTTTTTGAGTTTTGGTCTTTTTTTCTAATACTATGTGCAATAGTTCAACTATATTTGGTATGTGCGTACCTTGCAAGGTCCTCATGCCCGTCAGACAGTTTTCACTTGACCTCGACCTCATTTCATGGATCAATGAACAAGGTTAAGTTTTGGTGGTCAAGTCCATATCTCAGATACTATAAGCAATAGGTCTAGTATATTCGGTGTATGGAAGGACTGTAAGGTGTACATGTCCAACTGGCAGGTGTCATCTGACCTTGGCCTCATTTTCATGGTTCAGTGGTTATAGTTAAGTTTTTGTGTTTTGGTCTGTATTTCTTATACTGTATGCCATAGTTCTACTATATTTGGTGTATGGAATGATTGTAAGGTGTACATGTCTAGCAGGCAGGTGTCATCTGACCTTGACCTCATTTTCATGGTTCAGTAGTCAAAGTTAAGTTTTTTGAGTTTTGGTCTTTTTTCTAATACTATATGCAATAGTTCAACTATATTTGGTGTATGGAAATATTTTATGATCTATTTGGCAGTCACACAGGTTTTATTTAACCTTGACCTCATTTTCAAGGTTCATTGCTCAGTGTTAAGTTTTTGTGTTTTGGTCTGTTTTTCTTAAACTATAAGCAATAGGTCAACTATATTTGTTGTATGGAAGAATTGTTAGCTGTACATGCCTGCCTAGCATGGTTCATCTGACCTTGACCTCATTTTCATGGTTCATTGGTCAATGTTAAGGTTACTTGGTTAATGTTAAGTTTATGTGACAGTTGTAATAAAGCTTTATATTTAGGACTATCAACATAATATCAATGATTAGTAAAGAAGGCGAGACATTTCAGCGTGTGCACTCTTGTTACAATATATTATTCAAATGTCGCAAAACACATCTACTAGTTAAAACTATTAAATATATTTGCAGAAGAAAAAGAAAAAAACAATTTTAGAGTTACAATAGAAAATAACAGTAACTTTCCGCATCTTTAGTCGGACTCGGTACCATTTCAGCCTAGGTAAAGATTTCAAATGAGCAGATCTCATTGATCAGTATATTTACGTAATGCCTGAGTCTGAATGTTATATATGCTTATGTAAAGTTCAGTTCCTGAAAAAAATCCTAAACAGATGCGAATCTAGGATTTTGATAAAGGGGCTCCAAAAGTAAGCAACGTTTGGAGTGGGACATGTAAAAAAATCTATGCATTAACCATATATGTAGCTCCATAAAAGAGGACTCGATCCGTAAAGAAAATCTAAGGATGGGGATCATAATGATTGACTGCTTCGATCTTGACCTTAATCCCAAACTTAACCATTTAAGGTAATGGACAAATCACTATGACCAAAACATAACTCTATCATGATTATACATCGTGGAAAAAAATATGTTTATTAATACTATATCAAATGTTCATATATTGTTATGGAATAAATTTTGTATAAAGAGGATTTGTGGTCTAGTAGAACTTAGCGTGCATGCTTTAAGTACCACAAGTCCTGGGCTATCTCCAGCCAAGTTAAACCAAAGTGGCGCTTAGGAGAACGACTCTGAGGTCCTAGTGATCGGTTCGGCCTAAATGTAGGACGTTATGTCTTTATGTAGACTGTTTCGTTGTGAGCTAGTGTGTTAAGAATCGACTTCAGTTGGTTTGTTTAATATGGAGCAGGATGTATTCATATGACATTACCGGTAATATGGTATTTTCTTAGACTTTGCTAGTAATATTTGCCACTGGACGATAAGCGCTCATCCATCAATTAAATACTCAATAACCAATCAACCGCTAATAATCAATCAATCAATCAATCAGCTTTGAAAGCTGAAATGATTTTTTGCGATTTAAAAAAAAAAATCGTATCACTCCAGAGATATCTCTAAAACGATGTATGATTATGGAAATCCCCCATACTGCAGCACTCACAATCTGATTAAAATATAGATCTCTGATATCGTTATGCTCATATGAACTTCGACGTGAGTTACGATATATCTGAATTTAAGACTGCAGCACTCGAAACAAGTTAAAGGATTTCTTTTCCAACAAAAACTGACGACTTGTTACCAGTATTTTGATTTAAATTGCAGGTGTTTGATGCCAGGTCTCAAAACAAGTTAGAGTCACGCATTTATAAGAAATGGTCTGGATGGGCAAGAGAATGTTGTACAAGAGCTGATCTGTTAATCTGTGAAGGTAAATTGACTAGAGTCAAATAAAATAGTCCAGTGACATGTTAATTAATGCACAACTTGAATAGAGAAGGTGCATATCTGGGGTTTTTGGCCCTTTTAATTAAAAAATAATTCAAAAAATTGTCACGATACCATTACTTGTCACATTTTAAACATAAGATGAAAATGTGAATATTAGCTTCTACAGAGTTTTGTTTTTCAGGAAAGTTAGAAAAACAAAAACTCACCTGCCGAATTAGACTTATCACCGGGTTTGTACTTACATGAGCAACACGACGAGTGCCACATGTGGAGCAGGATCGGCTTACCCTTCCGGTGCACCTTATATCCCCCCAGTTTTTGGTGGGGTTCGTGCTGCTCAGTCTTTAGTTTTCTATGTTGTGATTTGTGTACTGTTGTTTGTCTGTTGAACTTTTTAGCCATGGCGTTGTCAGTTTATTTTTGACTTATGAGTTTGAATGTCCCTTTGGCATTTTTCGCCTCTTTTTTAAGGACTGTATTGCTTATCTTTAATGTAATAAAGACATTATTCAGACTGGCTTTTAGTCTACGAAAAGAGCTTCTTCTAAAAACACAAAGATCGTTTAGTGATAATGACAAATGTTGAAAAAAAAGATATTTTACTTCAGGTACCTACAACGGCCATGTTGCATATAGCTACATGTATTGTAATCGCAAGGATATGCTCCCTTTAATCTCATTCGGCATCTGTCGATTTTACTTTTTCAACATGGCTGTTGGTTATGAAAACATGAATGTGAAATTGGACATATAGTGAGTTAAATAATTACAAAAATCATTAAAATCGTGAATATCCTCAGTGTAGGGTCATGCAGCTGATAAAATTTTGGGAAATGAAACAGCACTTTTCTCTTAAATACTTATGGTTTATCACCCTAACGTCCATTTAAGATGGCTGTCCCACTTACTAAAACTCCAAAATTTATCAAACTCATAAACCTTACAGTGAAACAATTCAAAGGAGAAAACCATATTTAAACTACAATAATGTATTCTCTCTATTTTTTAGTACCTGGTATGGATGTAAAAGAGAAGGCACTATTTCTTTGTACAACATTCATGTTGGTAAGTTATGGGTATTTATCTGTGTGACATTTATTGTGAAAAGTCTTTATCAATCGTCTTGTGTTTTTGTCCCCAACAGTCAGTGACCATAAAGTGTCCGTCATTCCAATATACCAACCTTTAATAAGTTAAATCATTGCAAAATCTTACCGAATGTCAAATATTTTGTACGTTAGTAGAATACTACATGTAGTTCATTAATTTTTTTTTTTTCTCTCTGGTTGACATATTTTTAACAGAATAACTATGATTTACAATTGACAACTTTGAAGGCAGAGGAGTCTGTTGGTTATTTACGATTGGAACTCAAAACACTTAAGCTATTTGGAGGATTAAATGTTTCTTGTTTAAAAAAATATCGACTATATGCTACACTAAACAGGGATCCAAACATATGTTTTGTAAAATGTAAAAATAACTACAGTATAAAGTCTTCTATTTTAGTGTACTAGAACTATCTAAAATCATTTGAGGTGTACATGAATTAAATATGGACTAAATACATATGAAGAAGTTAATTTGATTAGATAATAGACATTTTATTCTTATTTACAATTAAAACTTTTCAATTTTATCAACAATAAAAATTCCCTATCCCCAACCCATCAACACCTAGATATGCCAATTAGCACATGTACAACTTAAAAGAAGAATGCCGCCGCCAAATCCAAGGCTTGCACTAAATTTAGTTAACTATGAGGTTAGTATACTTATATAAATACTAGCAGCATTTATTTGTGATAATATCATTTCTATGTCCCTTAGTGCTTTCAAATTGACTAGATTGGACACTCGTTTGAAAAAAAAATAAAATCACTGCAGTATTGTAATATAATTTTTCTTTCTATTTTTATCAGGATGTGATGGTTTTTGAGACTATGGATTCGGGTGGCGCTGGCGCCGGCTCTTAAAATGTCACGGCTGACATCTAACTCAGTGCAATCACATGACAAAAACCAAGAAGATCACGAGATCAAGTTTACAATTTGATATTCTACATCTTTTTTATGTTATATTTTAAAATACATCCTCAATATCTTAAGGGGAAACATTACAATAAAACGAGATAGATATTTAGTTTGTTAGTCATATAGAACGTTCTTGAAGGGGAACATTACAATAATACTAGACAGGTCTTTGTTAGAGAATAGAACGTTCTTAAAGCATTGTAAAAAAAGTTGTATCTATTAACAATTAAGGAATACAACTTTTTAAGAGACAATATCTTTCCCTTGTTTTGGTAAATTGGGTATTTCTGTTGGAATATAGTGACTCGATTTTCATATAATATTTAGACATTTGTTGAGCTTTTTTGTTCTCTTATAGCCCCCCACCCCAAATGAATATTATCAATTAAACTGTTTTCGATACCTTCTAAAGTAACTTTGATCAAACTGTAGATCTATTCGGTCTGGGAATAATATAACCTGGGAACAGTTACTGTATATCTAACAATATATATGTTCCTGATATAACTAGTATCCAATGTATATCTTAATGTAAGATAATGGTCCAAGATATGGTATAGAAGTCCAATTTATTATTTTTGTTGATATTCTAGCCTTTTACAGTTAATATTGTCACATTCATACTCTATTTTTACTGTTTTATGCAGACACATTTTCTTTCAATTCTAATTGTAAGTTTTCCATTTTCCTGAAAACAATTTGTATTGGTGTGTATACCAATATTGTTATTGCATGGCTATACTTAAAATGCAATTGTTCTTATTCAAATATTGAACATTTTGCAATTATATATAGAACAAATTTTTTTTTTTATAAAATAAAGAAAAAATACTATGTACTAATTGTTTGAAATTACGGTTCTTCTCCACTTAGATGATTTGTTGATCTCTTTTATAAGAAGATAGAAATGGTCTCATCCAACACAAGTATGATATATAATTTAATCTTAAGCGGACGGCACCATTATCAAATTATACACCAATGTCAAAACACATCTTTGGGGCATGTTAAATCATCTTTCCTCAAAGATAAAATCAACATACTACTAGTAAAGTTTTGCTTAAGGCAAAGTATGCGTAATTTAGCGATATCAGTTAAGATTTTGAGGATTTTTTTGTTATTGTATTTTCGCCGCTTTATAAGAACATTATTGTATATTTATAGACCTATTTCATACATTTTGAATTGATTGCATCTCTGGAATTATAAAAGACACAACTATAATTTATTTCGATATTCAAATGCTGTTCAACGAGTTCTTAACTCATGCAAAATGTCATCAAAATCCGAAATATCGCCCAATTACGTATACTTTTCCTTGAACGATATAAAACTTGGTCAGATATTAACCAAGATATAAAGTACTACGTATTTGACAAAAACTGTTCTTAAAAGATGATTACAACATTTTTAATTTTAGTCATACAATTATCCGCAGAATTAAAGTTGGAATTTTAGAACATGAATTCCCGGTACTTTTATGTTTAGACGTAAAATTATTCCAAAAACTTTCAAAAGTGTCAACGTATTCCGACGTATATAAAAGTGTTACAGGCTATTTTGGGCAAGTTTTAAGTAATTTTAGTGATTTGAAGAATATAAGGGAAGTTTCAGAAGTTTATTCCATAATTTTCATAATGGTCAGCTAAAATGTCTATTATATTGTGTTCATTTTGATACGACATACTATGGTAATATATCTGTTTGTTTTACCTCATCAGACATTAATGTGCATAATATGTTGTAAGTGTTATAAAAACGCAATTTCTAATATTTTATTGAACATTTTTATCTGTATATTATATTTTTTTCTTTTATAAAAAATGTAAAACAAGTCTTTTATTTATGCACATTTGCATAGGACTTCAATACAACTATTAGTATTGTTAGATTAATAAAATGTTTCAAAGAAAATATTCTTTATATTGCTCCTTTTATCAAGTTTCCACAGAATACAAGTTTTCGTTGACTTCTTGGGGACAAAAGACGATGAACCTACAAATTAATATACAATTGTTTTATAACTGAGAAAAAATAGTTGTTAAACATATTAGATATAACTCTGAATACAACCAAGCTAGAATTAGGGTTGAGTATCAAAGAGATAACACAGTCACTTTGCACACAGATAATATGAAAAAAAGATGTGGTATGATTGCCAGTGAGACAACTATCCACTAGAGACCATATGACGTGGATGTTAGCAACTAAAATACATCACCGTAGGGCCTTCAACAATGAGCAAAAGCCAAAACCTAAAGTCAGCTAACAAAAAACGATATGACAAAATGACAATTCAAATGAGAAAACTTACAACCTGATTTGTGACAAAATGTGAAACTATTGACAAAACAAGAAACGAAAAACAAATATGACAAACAGCTACCAACGACATGCAACTACTGAATTACAGGCGCCTTAGATTGGAGATACAGATAATACTTACAGATAAAATCTTCAACTAACAAGGATAAGTATACGAATTATTCATAACTGTTATTGTAACTTACACAGGCATATTTTCTCAAGTGGATCTCACGTGAAATTCACCTCAAACTAGCTTATACGTGAAACTCGCCTGAAAATTTTCTCATGAAATTCACGCGAATTTAGATTCACCTGAATCTCGTGTGAAATTTTTCACGTGAATTTCACATGAACTCCACAAAAAAAAGAAATTAGGATTGGTAATGTTTTAATCAAATCTAAAATTGAGATGCTATTTGAATACTAGTAACATTATTTTGAAAATTCACTTGAATTTCACGTGAAAAAAAAATCATGTAATTTTCAAATGAAAATCACATGAATTTCACGTATAAGCTCGTTTGGGGTGAATTTCATGTGAATTTCACATATGATTCACATGGATCTAAATTCACGTGAAATTCACGTGAGTGAAATTTCCCTGCGTATTTTGTGTTTAAAAACAGTTTCTTGAACGTTATGTGCAGCATATATGAAGTCCTAATCTCTCGGTCATATTTTAGTGAATTTGCTTATTTGACATTCATTTCATGAAGAAAATTCATGATATCTTCTATACTACTGAAATAACGAAGTCCAATTTGTTAGCCGGCATGACGTAAAAGCGACGAAGCAAAGAATTCAACTTTATATAAAACTAATATAGGACAATTGTGTTGATTAAAAATTACATTAACCTAGGCCCTTTTGTTTTCCACATAATTAATATTACCAATAATTAACAAGTCCCGGGTCGAATCCGATACTGATACCAATAGTATATGTCACCTGTTACCTGTTACATGTACATAATCTGCACGTTTTGTCTCTGACAGGCGCACCACCAAACAGTGTATTTGGAATTTGCTATATACACGGGTCATAATCACACCTGAACTTCGTCTTTATGCAGGGATTGACACTACTAAATTCAATCATTGTCACATGTAGTTTCCGGTTGTAGTAAGAAAACCAGTGCGGGTTCAAACAAAAAGATTTTTTAAAGCAGAGAAAACTGCTCACCTTATAATCAGCATGACTTTATCAGATGACAATACGAATACTAAAAATCAAGGCTAAAAATAAGGCGTAGGTACTTTAATTCAGTCACGGAACCGCGATGTCGCGGGTGTGTTCTAGTATCAATATATAGTTGCACTATTTATTGACAAGCATAAATATGAGGCTCTGCTCAAACGATTTAGAATTACGCATGGTTAAAATGATAAGTTGTACAGAATTGCCTATAAAATTTATATGTGCATTTATCTTGATGAACAGAACTTTATTCTCCGTTGTAAGGTTTTATTATTATGTGTGCTTTTGATTATTTGATGTTTTATTGAATGTGGCGAATATTTGAAACATGTTCAGGATTAGGTTGAATAGAGAATGGAAACGGGAAATGTGTCCGAGAGACAACAACTCGACCCAAGATAAAAAAAACCAGTCCAAGTACACAATGGCTCTTCAAAGCAGCGAGAAAATTCCACAGGCTTCAGCTAGCCCCTAAACAATGATGTATGCTAGTTCAGCGAAATGAACGTAACAATAAACTCCGACATATACAAATGAATTGTGTCCAGCGCTCTAGACCACTCGGCCACCTAGACTGAACTAAAATTATTTATTAGTTCAGTCTAGGTGGCCGAGTGGTCTAGAGCGCTGGACACAGTGCAGGCGGTGTTGTCACGATATCCCAATAGCATGCGTTCGAATCCCGGCGAGGGAAGAACAAAAATTTGCTTCCGCAAATTTGCAGATTTAACATTGTTGTGCTGATATTTAGAGTAGTTATGAATATAATATATGTTTTCAGCCGTGTATTACCTTCACTGGTGATCCAATGCATGGATCTGTCGTAGAGTTGTCACTTGTTTAGACGTACTTATATATATATATATATATAAACAAGTCTAAATTGAAAACAACGTTCAAACCTATGATTGCGTTTGATAAAAACCACAATTTTTATTCGTGTGCATGCAAAACAAATTTCTTGGTAGAGGGGTCTAAATACAGCACAAACAACATTTTCCAAAAGACCAAAACAGTGAAAAAGTATATTCTAACAAAACGCATTTGACTAGAAGGTCGAACAACGGATGTTATTAAACCCTGCTGACTCCAATTGGCGATTGTCAAATAATATATATACATATAGTACTTGGTTGGTTAAACAAGTTGTTGCAAAGGGAAGTCCATCAAGTGTCTGCTTTTGTATATTATCATTTAACTGCAAAGCAATAGTGCTACACTTTTGAATTTGAATAGTTTTACATGACGTTTGAAAATACCGTTGACAGTGTATTTTCTTTTCAAAGGTTAACATGTTTAAACGGTTAAAATAGTCCTTATTGTTTGAATATGCCTTATAGTGATTGACACATGTTCTAGTGGTTGTTGTTGGTTGCTGTCTGCTCTACTGCATAAATCAGGTCGTTTGCTTTCTCTTTTGTATTGTTTCGCAGGAGTTTTATAACTTGGTATACGTTATGGGTTTGGCAAATTGTTGAAGGTTGAATGATAATCTCAATTGTTTTACATCTTTCTCATTTGGTCTATGCTGGATAGTTGTCTCATTGGCAATCATACGACATCTCATATTTTATAAAGAATAATAATTTTTGATTTTGTTATATACAATATACGGTTTTTCAATTAATGAAAAAGTAAAATGCTGACCTCTTGCACATGATACATGATAAAAGCAATATTTTTTTCAAATTTACGAACACAAAAATAGATCACAGAAAAACTTATCGTAGATTGCAAATCAGGTCCTGCTCTGATTATTCGTATCTTTTTTTTTTCTGTCCAGTGTATAGTCGTCTACTGCATACTGTTATTAATATATATAATAAAGATGACAAGAGCGATTGTATTGTAATAAAAATGTTGAAGATATATCGGCAAATCATGTTACACCAAGTAATTACATGCCAAAATAAATATGTGTACATTCAGAACTTTAAATAGAAGTGTGATATACAATTGATTATAAATCAAATTTTGAACATGTTGAAATATTACACTAAGACTACAGAAAAATGCATCAATCGGAATGTTTTGATCTTGCGACTAACATTTTTCATCTTTCATTAAAAATAACAAACAAGAAATGAATTTGCTGTTATTTTCAGGTATTTTAATTTGGCTTATTTTCAACCGAAACGAATTATTTTCTTTTGTTCCCTTCAAAATTAAATATTTTTTTAAATATTTAATCAATTTATTAAATGAAGGACCAAAGCCAACAAAGATGATTGGTAGGTGCATAATTGAAGAAACCAAATGATTGCACCTTGGATAATTGCATCTCCGAATTTAAAAACTGAAAATTAAAATACCAATAGATTTTCCAATCACTGCAGCACACACTGTTAAGAATAAAATGTATAGTTTAATTGGAAATTTCTACAGCAGCTTAACTCATTCGGTCTTATTCCTTTTTTCGCTGTTCAGTATATTTAACCACATGTAAGTAACTACTCACTGTGACCATACCAAAAGAAGGACGATCGACAAACATGGAAGTTGTGGCGGTATGCATACTTTTTCTTTTATTTGCAAAAATACAATTTTTTGGTTGAGCACATCCGTTCTCGATTTTTTTTTTTTTTTTTTTACATAATTTATGTGCCGTCTTTCATTATCATTATCATTTTAATTGTTGTTTTCATTTAGATGTTGCCGAGGTACTAGTAGTTAAGTGTTGTTGTTGCATTTTGTCTTTGCTTATTACTATAATGAAAATCGTTTCGGATTTGCAGAGTCCTGTTTCATGTATTTACGCGTTCTCGTCAGTTCTAATCAATTTACAAACTATCTTTAAAATTCTAGATCTAAATATTTGCCGCAGACTGTTCAAATCTTGGGCTGCTCTGAAATATAGTTTGTTGATTTTGTGTATAAGCTGATACGGTACATGCACCAGTAAATGAACTATCGTTAAACTATCTTTTTAATTTTTTATTTCGTCAAATCTTTTTTTTGTTTGGTGTCTAAAGAAATTAACTTATTAACTTACGAAAGATAAAATATTGGTTAATGATTTAACCATACAGTATCTATTTTCAAGCATAAAATAATAACATTAATTTTATCTGTAATTATATTCGCAAATGGCCAAATAAACGCCGTGTGTAATACCCAAGTTTATAAAATAATTTCTGGTATTCTTTATGCATTTATTCGGCCAAGTATGAGAATCAGGATTGCTATAAGTTACTGCAACACGTGATAAATCAAGTAAATCTCTGAATTGTTCTGAGGTTCTTCTCAAATATACTTCGTTGATTTGTTTATTAACTTGCTGGGTATACGCCAATGAAACAGAGCCAATCGTAATATGTCTTCTTGTTCTATCACTTCTATACGGAGAAAGAATTGAGTTTCAACTTTTTGCAGACATATTATGTTACTTGTTTGATCTTGTTCAAGTAATCAATACTATTAAGTTGACTAACATATAACATTTTATACTTTCTTCTTCTGATACATTATTTAACGAAAAAACATAAATTTAATTCACAATGCAATGTGAGGAAACGTGACCCATGCTGTAATGATGACCCTGTATCGGAGAGAATACATTGATTAATGACACAAACATATGTTGTGCAGTGACCTATTGATGTCATTCTTCATGAGATTTAGCTTACAATGTTCTTCTCAGATTTGATCTGAGTAAGTTACAAATATAGTTCGTTGATTTTGTGTATCAACTTGTGGGGTAAACGTCAATGAGACAGCAACAGCATATAGAGAATTTAACAATATATACGATGATTCTGTCACTTTGTTATTGGTACAGAGAGAAGACAAAATGGTCAACCTTTTGAATAGAATTGTTGATAAATTCATTAATTAAACTTGATAAAATAGTTTTATTATTTCAAACATAATTAAACTTACATTTTGTTTGATATTAATTAATCAACGATGAAATATAATTTTATTTCGCTACCTGAAATCAGGGGAAGTAATCCATGTCGTACAATTAGAATAATGTCTTTGATGAGAAAATTGTCATTAAACAGTTAAAGAGAAACATTTAGCTAATAATGTCTTTAATCTTAAACTTATTTCCCCTTATCTACCTGTATCATTTCTTTTCGAATCAGAAATCCTCATGCACTTGGAGATGTACCCTTTCAGTCGAAATTTAATTTTAATTAAGTTTTACATTTTCCAACGCTGTACATACTTATATAGTTATATTGCTGCTTTAAATAATAACAATCCACTGTAGAAACTTATATTCCCTAGACTGTGCATGCGGTCGTTTTTTTCACCATATAAGTTCATGCATTCTGTTTATTGTTAATTATTTAACCTAAAAAAAAATCACACTGCGCTGCCGTCAAGGGAAATAATCCGTTTTACACAAAAGCATAAATGATCCTGGCAGTATATCCTATATGTATCCAGGGGGTCTCATTGGGGGGTTCTGATCCCGGATCCCGCTTACTGTTTTGTCAGATTCCCGTATCCCGCTTACACTATGTACTTGAGCAATTCTCATTTTTTTGTAATTTCCAGTATCCCGCTAGACTTCATTTCCCGTTTTCACGGCACAATAATTTGACTTTCACGTGTCACGCTTACAAAAAATCGGCAATCCCGCGTCACGCTTAGACCCCAATGAGACCCACTATCCAAAATCTCTTCTTCGTGTTGGAAACCATAAAAAAACCTAACATGTAAATAAGTCAGAAAAACTATTTAGGAACCTGTGGCAGGCTACATTTTTCATATTCGATACCCTTGCATGCACACCACTCCACTCCGGCCTTATGAACACAATTGTCTAGAACCCAATCTCTGGCCCCGAGTGGTGTTCATAAAGGTAAAGCATGGCTATTATATCTATGGGTAAATCAAGTAACAATAAGTAATAGCTTTGTCATGGACCAAGGTATATTGTTGCCCCACCAATCTCCTCATACATGTTTTTTTACTTTTTAGAGGGGATACTAAGTTAGTCTGGTGGAAAGCTTGAAACTAAATTTTGACCTTAAAACTGCCTGGTACTGAAACAGAATACACTAAATACTGTAAAAACATTTATTTTCGTGGGGTTAAAATTTCGTGGTTTTGTCTCTATATAAAATTTCATGGGGATTTAATTTCGTGGTTTCCATTAAATGGAAGTGATATCATATGTAGGTTAAATTTTCGTGGGGGTTTTAATTTCGTGGATATATTCTTTCCACGAAATAAACGAAATTAAATCCTCCACGAAAATTTCTGCTTTTACAGTATTTACTAGACTTGAGTACAATCTTTCTCTTTTGTAATGTTTTATTTTCGTTGGTTAATTTTGTATCTCTTTATGATGTGTGTGCTTCTGTGTTTATTTTACTCTATGAGATTTTGTTGGTTATTAGTTTTTTATTGTCCGAATTCTGCCCCAAATAATGAAGATGCTTAATGCTGAAATCTTTTAACATTGATGGTTAACGTTTCTAATTCAAACGAAAACGTGTTCATGCTCATATGAAAGTAAATCAGTTTTATGCCCCGTGGTTAATCAATATTTTTTATTTGTCTACAAACCTTCATGTTATTTTTTTATAGGCACAACAACAAAGTAATCGGATGGGATACATCAATCCTTTAATTGTAAATGGCAGAGACGTTGACCCTATGACCTTTAGAATGAAATGGCAGCAGGTAAGAGAAACATTAGAAATGAAGTTTAAGTTTTATTCTTATCTACAGAATATCCATTGCATACAAAATGCGTACAGCCCACACGAGGGACAATTTTTGGAGTTAATACCACATGGAATAAACAACAGTTTCTCAAATACTAAGGATGGAATCCATTGTTTGACTACAAAATTACACATACATGTATCTTTGAACTACTAAATGGTAATGTTTCGGTCTTTGGATGGTTCAGATACAAAAACGCTTGATGTTAGAACAAAAGTGGCACATATACCACTCTATGAACGAAAATTTTATTGAAAATATATTTTTTTTCTGATTATGAATCCGTATTAAATCATGATAGTTGTAGTAGCCGCCACTTGTATAAAGAACAAGTCACTATTGGCTTGAAATCACTCTACTGATTTTCAGACTAAGCTCAAATCACTTGTCTCGATAGATTTTTTTTTATCTTAACCCACTTTTCCTGAATCGATTGCATTGTATGTTCTTTTATGCAAATCATGGTAGTTAACTGATCGAGATGAACAAGATGACTGTTACACCTCGAAAATTGCACTAACAAAATTTGTATAAACGAGCATACAATGAAATCAATTCTGGAAAGGCACTTGATTAGATCTAAAGTTTAAAATAAAATAAAAATACAAGCTCAAACTAAACAATAATAAACAATTTTGTATCAAGAAGCCGCGGTACCGAATGAAAGCAAGCTCCCTCTGACGAGTTAAGCCTTTTTCAACCGATTTTTATTGTTTGTTCTTATGTTGTAATGTAACACCACTGTCTTAGGTTAGGGAGAGGATTGGCGACTTCAAACTAGTGTAGCCTTGCTACTTTCTGCATGTGCCTGTCCCATGTCAAGAGCCTGTAGTTCAGTGGTTGTCGTTTGTTGCTGTTTATCATATTTTTTTTTTCGTTCATTATTTTGTACATAAATTTGGCCGTTAATTTTCTCGTTTGAATTGTTTTACATTTGTCACTTCGGGGCCTTTTATAGCTGACTATGCAGTATGGGTTTTGTTCATTGTTGAAGGCAGTACGGTGACCTATAGTTGTTAATTTCTATGTCATGTTGGTCTCTTGTGGAGAGTTGTCTCATTTGCAATCATACCACATCTTCTTATTTTTATATCAACGTACTTAACCTATCGATACAAAATCATACTCTACTTTTTTAACAAATTGAAAAAGAAACATAAAGACTCTTTCTAATTACTTTATTTTATTTTGTGGTTGAACTAGTATTGATTAATTTATTTATTGAATTGTAGTATTTCCCACCACGCCAAGACTGGGTAGTGTGTCGCCGGCATCGTACTCCAGAATCAGATTCAGCAAGAAATATTATCAAGGTAGTGATATCAAATCGAATACAAAGCTACAAAGAAAAATATCGTTCACAATTCGAAAAATCCGAATTCCCTGCACCAGAGAAAATAAGTACAATGGAACAAAAAGTTCCAACCGAATGCAGATCAAATGATTCTTTTCCAGAAATTGTGACCCTAAAAGATAAAAAAATAAGATCGAGGTCAAAAAAGTCTGCCAGCAAAGGGAAAGTTAAATTAAAAAGTGATACAAGGTCACTGTCGAGGCAAAAATCTGATGTTAAATGTAGGACTACCTGCTCGGACGCCATAGAAAAGGATGGAATGAAACAAAAAAGAAAGAGAAAGATAAAGAAATCAGCAACAAAGAAAGGCAAACATTCTGTAAAGAAACATATATCTAAGAAAGATAAACATGAACTTCTTGATATAAATGGCAATTGTGGGAGAAGAGCTATAGACAATTTACATAGTCGTGAATCAAAGAGACCTAATTTCACTACGCTACCGCGCCTTCCGATTCCGGACACTTGGAAATGGCAAGGCAAGCCACGGCTCGTGGAGAAAATGACACGACTTCCTCTTCCTACGACGTGGAAGTGGTACGACAACCCAAATCAGTTCAAGAAGCGACAGCCTTCGACACCTAGAATATCATTGTCCAGCAGGCAGTCATCTGACGTGGAAAACTTCTCATCCAATCAGCCATTTATTAATAATCTAAGATTCGAACCACGGCCATCCTCAATATTATAATACAATTTGCCTATCTTTTACTTTCGGAAATCGTCGAGTATTGATTGGGTGGCAGAGTGAATCATCTGTTAACAGATTAGTAGTAAATGTGAGATTTATATATCATTGATGAAACATGCAACACATTGGATAACTGGTTGGGGAAACAATAACATCATATTACAATAAGAAAGCCTCAAGTAATCGTTTATTCGGATTATCAATTGCAATTCACTTTAGCGGGTGGTTATACTGTAACTACATGTAACTAATAGATGCTAACTCTGTCAATGAGCAGCAGTCATTTGAACAGGATTACTGTTTATCTTTATGCTTGTGAGCTGTCCAAAGTAAATATAATGTTGTTGTATTTTTACCCTTGTTGTCATAGCGTATTCCTGATTTTAAAAGCTACATTGGTAATTTATCCGCATCATTTGTAAAACAAATTATCTATATAGCAATCATTACCACGCCCTCCTGTGCCCCTGTATCACATCCAACAATAATAATTTGCATTGTCATACATGTGTAAGTGAAAATGACAACTATGGTCTTATGCAGATGGTATATTGCAATCCTCCAAAACATTATGGTGCAGTATAAAACACAAAGACTAATTTAATCATCAGACAGCAAATGCTATAAAAACATTATGCCAAATTAAAAGTGGACATGTCAACACAAGGGATGAAAGCTGCTATTTTGAAATTTTACACCCTCATTTTATATTAGATTTTATTGAGTTTAATCGTAGCTGGCATATAACGATATCGGCCAGGGTAGGATCTTTTTAATTGACGAAGAAATTGGCAAGACTTCCTTTTGAACCTCGTACGTGTATGTGTATACTTATTCCGTCAATAGAAGAGTTTCAAACGGAAATCTTTTTTGATGCACCGATAGTGTTTCCATCATGAAAGCGTTTTTTTTTTGTAGGACAAAGCGGCATAACTCAATACAATTTTCACACTTCAATTTAAATGATGACTTCTGAATTCCGATTAAGTGCACATAAATTAGAAATGAAAGTTGCATGCAATCCGCTTTAAATCACATCTTTCATTTTGCGCCGTTAGATTTCATTTTCGATCCTGTAACGGGACGAATGCCAAGCACATCTAACGGAGCAAAGTGAAAGATCTGATTTTAATCAGATTGAAAAAGAGGGACGAAAGATACCAGAGGGACAGTCAAACTCATAGATCGAAAACAAACTGACAACGCCATGGCCAAAAATAAAAAGACAAACAGACAAATAATAGTACAGATGACACAACATAGAAAACTAAAGACTAAGCAACACGAACCCCACCAAAAACTGGGGGTGATCTCTGGTGCTCCGGAAGGGTAAGCAGATCTTGCTCCACATGTGGCACCCGTCTTGTTGCTTATGTTATTACAAATCCGGTAAATACTCTAATTCGGTAGGTCACATTCGTGAAAAGGGAAGGGTATTGTAGTTACGACATAAGGAACATATCCGATATCATCTGTGAAACGGTTATTCCATAACGGTCAACCAACTCGTGATGGAGTCCGTAAAATTTACGAAGGGATGATTTCAACTTCACCATTTGGAACTCTTGGTTTAATAACTTCATTGTGAGCAGCAGTTCTCTATCAAGGAAATCATGATAGGAAATACAAGCCCGGGAATATCGTATTGAAGTTGAGAGATACTGAAGTTGAGAGATACAAAAACTTTGATACGAACGATACGATATATAAATATAAAACGATTGAATATGTACACTTTTCAAAAACGAAATTGAAGATGAAATACATTTTCCCTTAAATGTCCTTATTATATAGAAGAGTATAAGCAATTTTCAGCTACCATGGAACAAATAATGCCAAATATAAACGTATTAATAGATAAGTCTAAATTTGTCTGGTTCAAATGAGCTTTCAATATCCCAAGAGTTTTCTTTTAAAACTTTAAATGATGTGTTATCTAACCTACTATTTAGAAATAGACACACATTATTGCAAGTATAGTATACGATCAAATCAAATGAAATTTTATTACCCCACTTTTGGCCCTATACAGAACAAATGTCATATACATTTACAACACAAACAGGTAACACGAATGTTCACATGCATTACATATGATTGATAGTTTTAAAAAAGGTATTATACTATTCTTTATTTGAATTATAGATAGACAGCGGCAGGTGCGATTCGTCAAACTTAATATGATGATCAGTAGTTGTCGTTTGTTGATGTGGTTCATAAGCGTTTCTCGTTTTTGTCGAGCCTTCGACTTTTGTCGAAAAAGCGAGACATAGCGATCCTACATTCCGTCGGCGTCGTCGTCGTCGTCGTCGTCGTCGGCGGCGTCCACAAATATTCACTCTGTGGTTAAAGTTTTTGAAATTTTAATAACTTTCTTAAACTATCCTGGATTTCTACCAAACTTGGAAAGAAGCTTGTTTATGATCATAAGATAGTATCCAGAAGTAAATTTTGTAAAAAAAAAATCATTATTTTTCAGTATTTTACTTATAAATGGACTTAGTTTTTCTGCCAGTTCACATTACATTCACTCTATGGTTAAAGTTTTTAAAATTTTAACAACTTTCTTAAACTATCTTGGATTTGTACCAAACTTGGAAAGAAGCTTGTTTATGATTAAAAGCTAGTATCTAGAAGGAAATTTGGTTAAAATTGTGTTCCATTTTTTCTGTATTTTACTTATAAATGGACTTAGTTTTTCTTCCAGTTAACATTACATACAGTCTGCAGTTTAAGTTTTTAAAACATTTATTAGATTCATAAGCTATCCTGGATTTTTACCAAACTTGGACAGAAGCTACTTACAATCAAAAGATAGTATAGAGAGGAATGTTTTTATTAATTTTTTTCCTCATTTTTGTTGAGCCTGCGATTAACAGCAAAAGTAGGCGAGACACTGGGTTCCGCGGAACCCTTACGAATTTTTTATATAGATTAGACCGTTGGTTTTCCGTTTGAATGGTTTTACACTAGTAATTTTTGGGGCCCTTTATAGCTTGCTGTGTAGTGTGAGCCAAGGCTCCGTGTTGAAGACCGTACTTCGACCTATAATGGTTTAATTTTATAAATTGTGACTTGGATGGAGAGTTGTCTCACTGGCACTCATACCACATCTTCTTATATCTATTTAATAGTCCGTATTTCAAAATTGGGCCACTGTACTACATTCTATAGCTGGTTAAAATTAAATTAAATTACATTTACTTTATTTACATGTTTTGTTATTATCATTTTGAATCATTGTATCTAAATTTTATGTAATTATACATTCATCTCAATTTTGGACGCTGTGATTAGCAATAAACATGGTTGGTTCTATTATGTTCTGTAATATTATATTCTATCAAGTTGTTATATCGATTAGGACAAAAACCGAGAGACAGTGAATGAGGATACTGGTTTTTAAACATCTTCGAAAATACGAACATGCATTCTAAAATTAAAAGGAAGTATTAATTTTTCTTATGTACAAATGTATCATTAACATCTTTTCAGCCAATGAAACATGCCAAAATAAAGTCCCCAACCATTTCTCGTCATAAACGGACGAACAAGCGACGTATGAAGAATATATTAACCCTTATAATTTGGAACCGTCTGGTTATAAACGATATACAGGAATGTTCATTTCTTGCCACTGCAGGAGACAAGTTGGTTTTGAAAATTATATTCACTCTCACAATCTTTCCTGCAGAATACATATATATTTTTACAGTGATTGGTATAATAAAGTATAATAATAAAAATGATAATAATAAATTCTTTATCTAAAGAGAGCCACTCAATTAAGAACTGGTCCAATTTTCAATGAGAGCCTTAAACAAAATGCATGCATATAATACACATTCAATGTCAAAAATACAACATACATATAAAATCATTCATACATAGAAACAATCATTAACGTTTTCATATTCTAACCAAAAAAGTAATATCATTTGAAACCATAAAACAGACATTTGCCTTATACGAAGTATATACAAGAAAATGATTGAAAAAATGTAATTATAGTAGCATGCGTGTTTTAGCATTTGGTCAGCTTGTTGTGCGCTGTACGGATTCAGTTTGCCACCTATTCATTTGTTATTATTTAGTTTATCCCAGAGTTCTGGGATGTGTGTCAAATATAAATGTTAATTTTGGTATTAACATGTGGTATGATCGCCAATGAGACAACCAGGTAATGAAAAAAAAAATTATTTGAACTTACCTTGTTTGGTTAATATACATGGGATAATAGCATAGTATAAATTGCAAAATGTCTTGCATCGTGGTATTTATGGTAATTTTAACATACGCAATATATTAGATATTATTCATTCTTAGTAAAATCATGCAAAATTTTAGCTTTTATTGAATTTTATTTTATTTGGTCAATTTATTTTAAAGTACACAAAATCAGGGGAAATAACTCTAACCTCCTAAAAATTACGACAGGGAAAATAACACATTCCTATTATATTTATGTCGTAGTCTGAAATCGTAGTGTCCTATTTAGACATAAAAAAATCATGGAGCTATAATGATTATAAAATTATTCTCGAAAAAAAAGATTTCATCAGAGAAATTGAACTTAGCTAGGCCTGGTTCAACTTTCCCGGGCCTTCAAGAAATCATAACGTATGCCGAATTCGGCATTTTTCAATTTGGATTTTATAGATCCCTCACATGGGAAGGATCAAGAAGGGAAGATGGTACCCGTACGGTCCATTAAACCAAGCACATCACTTTTCTTTTAAAGCCTTCCTAAGCTCCGCACTGTTCTTTCTTTTGTGGGGATGTCGTTATATAGAGCTGATAGATTAGGCATAAGTGATAATATTGTGTCTGTAGGCTGGTAATAATTGGGATCCACGGCCAAAACTGTGTAAGCAAACATAATGTACATCACAGATAAACAACACAACTGACTTTAAAAATCCAAACTATCATACATATAAAAGTCTGATAGACTCCAGCAAAAAAGTTCTTGTAGATGAGAGTACATACAGTATAGTAAAACATAATGCCATACATGTATGTATATACACTTTCCCGATAAAGTACAAATTAAGTAAGATATAAATACAAGGGTATACAAAATTAAAACAGCACTATAAAAACCTCATGCGTCCAAATCGCATCTCTAGACCCACTAGCAACAGAAACGCCAAAAGCCAAAAACCCGATCGCAGCATGGATACACAAATACCGAGCCACGTTAAGAGTCGTAGGACCAGCAGGAATATAACAATACAAAGACACATAAATGGAACACTATACTGTAAATAAAATGATACACAACCGTTACGTAGGATATATTAACTCAAGACCATCCTGTATTATTTGTAAAGTATAGACATTCAATACTCATCAATTAATGTCTTGGTACTTTCCGAGGAGCTTTTTGAGAAAAAGGACGAGACGTTGTTCTTTGACAAAACTCTGGCTTATTTTTTTTTTTTATCAGACTACGATGGCGTTACCGTCAAAGTGTGAGTAGAAGTTGCAAGCTCTTTGATGTCGTATTCAGTTGAGAAATGCATACTCCATACGCGGGTGTAGATGAAATATTTTATCAACACGTTAATTTATGTCAAATTTTGCATCGAAGGGCATTGCTAAATAAAATGAATTAATTCAGTGTATGGGAAAGACAATACATCCTTCACTTACGACGTAATTTGTTGTTTTAACGATGTCGTTTTATACATTGTTATGATAAATGCTAAAAATTTGCCAAAATATCTCAAAATTATCGCTTGGGGCATTCTTTGAACGTTTATAATTTCTTTGACCTGCTTAGAAACGAGCCAAAATTTAGTTAGACCCTTAAAGTACAAACACTGCGCTGTGATACCATGAAAGTAGGTTTAGATTGAATTATTTTTTGAAATTGGCTATGGAGTGAAATAAATTCAGAACTTCGGAAATTTCAGACGAATTATATATGGTATAAAGATATGTTATACTTTTTTTCATGACGTGGAGTTTAATATTCCTAACAATATATTACATACACTTACAATTTGAATTTATATGGATATTAGATATAATCTATTATAGTTGCAAACACAACAAAGAATATCAATTTGAAACAATTTATAATAATGCAGTTGTCTTTTGTTTAAACAAACGTGTTGACATCTAAGCCCAATCGTTACCGTAAAGTTAAATACAATACGAAGATTTTTAATGATACTGGAAAGATAACATATACAACACACAAACAGTTCTATAATTCACCCTTGAATACATTATACAATTAAACAGGGTCTCGGATGAGTACATCTTGGATTGAGGAACCACGCAATGTAAAAGGTTAGTATTTGATAAATAAATAATTTTTTCATGTTAATATTTTAATGTTTGTTTTCCATGCTTAGTGGCAATCTGATGAGTCGGGTCATTTCCATGCATAGTGCCAATCTGATGAGTCGGGTCATTTCCAACTGATTTTTACAGTTTGTTCTTATGTTGTACTGTTACACCACTGCCCAAGATTAAGGGGAGAATTGAGTGCTCTCAAACATTTTTAACCCCACCGCTGTTTACAAATGTCTTTCACAATTCTGAAGCCTATATTTCAATGGTTGTCGTTGATTTATTTTTCGTTTGAATTGTTTAACGTTTTTTCATATTGGAACCTTTTATTGATGACTGTACGGTATGGGTTTAGTTCATTGCTGAATACCGTATGATCACCTGTAAATGCCTAAATCAATGCCATTTACTCTGGTGGATAGTTGTCTCATTGGGAATCATACCACATCTCCTTAACTAATTTTATAAACTTTACTAGCAGGTAGAATATAAGGAAGAGATGAATGGACGAAGGGTTTCTAATTGGGCTAAGATTCATAAAAGAAACTGTTCAAAATGTATAACTTAATTTATGTAAATTTTTAGAATTGTACTCTGTTCGGTAATTTTAAATAACTTTGTTGCACAAGAATTTACATTTTGAATTTGCTCAAAAGTGACATCCCGTTTTAACTTCAACACCTCAGACAAAAAAGAAAGGAAGGAAGGTGTTTTCCACTTTCCCATTAGGTAAGTTTTTTTTCTCCTTATAGGAATTTGTGATTTTTTTAGCCTATGGTAAGTGTATTGGCGCATTGTCTAGACATGGGTGATCTGATTGTGCTTAATATACTGTATAGAACTCTTACTATCTACTAATCAAGACGCCAAATTTACATCAAGATGTCTTTAAATTTTGTATGTCCCAGGTTTTATTTTCTCATTGACGTTACAGGACACGGGTGATCTTAATACACTGTAAAGAACTTAGTCTTTATCTACTGTTGAAGACGAAAATTTGACATCAAGATGTCTTTAGGTTTCTTTATGTCCCTGGTTTTATTGTCGATGCTTACCACACATTTATTATTTAAATGTGTTTTTATTCGGAATCCCTTGGATAAAATTAGTTATAAACAAAGCTAATATTAAATACTGCCGCTAACTGTACTTTTCCCGTCTGACAGTAAGACCCAGGAAGTGTGTACATGTATACTAATTATATATATATATATATATATATATATATTATGTTATGCGTAATGTTATGCACATGCAACCATAAACATCCTGTAATTTCGGAAATGGCGAAAATAAATCCGATGTTCTATTTTGAAAGCTCTCAGCCCGTAAAAAAGATTTTAATAATTTTAAGCTCTGAATGAGTCTGTAAGTTAGGCTAACTGCTGTCAAAATTACCCATTATTGTGTCCACTCTTTTTTCAGGACCTACCAAATTGAATTATTGGTTCTAGTCATGAATATGCATGAATATTTCTTACTTTACCATACACAAATAACAATCAACCAATCTTGTTTATCCTCAGACCGAAGATTTTGCAAAATGGAACACAAAGACGAGACACGACAGATGAGAGAAACCAGTAATGAAGGTATGGTATAAGAAATGAAATTGATTGGAGAGAGCAAAAAGAAGCTTTGGTATTAACATACCAAGTTAAGATAAGATAAGATAAGATAAGATAACTTTTATTTCAAATAGAAGGTACATTATGGGAAAAATCATTACAATAATAAGGACATACATTATTGGTAGATTATAGAATTGTATTATCGTGGTATATAGAGGAGTGGTTTGATTACATTTTATAGCGTTGTTTTTTTTTTTTATCTTAATCCGTCTCCGTAATAGACAGCATGCAGGCATCATAAAACTTCGGTCTAGAGTTCACACAAACATATTAATAGGTAAGATACAGTTGCGTGCTACATGTTTCGAAGTATGTGTCACGTGGGAAACAAGTGGATCATAGTCTTAGTTAATTGGTCATTGTTTAAATAGCTTTAAAAGAATCTTCTCACAATAACCACCACCATCCATCCCCACCTTATGATTCATCTTCTTTATTTCAACGACAAGGGAAAGAACTCAGCAAATCAACCTTTTTAAATATTTCCCTTGTCATTCAAAATTTTTATTCATTTTATTTTATATCATTTAACATCTCCAACCTCACCTCAACATCTTAACCTCAGTAGCCCACCGTCACGCGGGGGCTGGTCCACTGCAACGCATGGGCCGCCAAATGAAGCGACTTTCCTCTTACAAATTCACCTACAATTCTGTAGAAACGTGCATTAGTTAAGAACAACTACACCTAATTTTTTATCTTAATATCGTGAAATTTGCATAGCTCCAATTGAAGTAGCTGTTAATTTCAAAATGGTTATTTTTTGGAACAAATTTATCATCAATCAAATCCAATTCAGCAGTGTATCATACAGAGTAATGTTAAAGTTTAGCCAATGAGGAAATGCTAAGTTTAAAGTGGACCAATCATTTAAAGTCTTTCTTTGATAACACGGAACTAAGCTATGTATGGGCTCAGCAATTGCTAGTTGAGTCTGTTCAATTGAAAATTACTGTAAAACAAAGACCATTTTTGAAAAAAGGATAGTCAAATACAAAATTAATCAAGAGGAGAACATTTCAGTGGTCAATTCAAATTTGAATATAATCTAGAAAACTATAATCTGAAATCATTTCCAAAAAAGAACAACACTTGGTAACAAAACGAAGGGGTTTTAATTTGAAAATACCCAAAGAATCGGATATACTCAATTAAATATCCAAGTCTTCAAAAAAAGTGATAGGTTTATAAACATTATGTAATGTAAAAGTTACAGTGATCAAATAAAGTTCTATACAGCTGCGTCACATTATGACCGAATTGCAGTTAGGGAACAACCATTTAACTTCAACAAGGAGGATAAAGTCTTTTTATATTGAACTGAAATGAATTTTTTTTAAAAGAACACCCAACCAAGTAACCGATAATATATGTGTATTAAACAAATACTAGTTAATAAAATTGAGAATGGAAATGGGGAATGTGTCAAAGAGACAACAACCCGACCATAGTTAGCACTTTTACAGTATGTATATACACACATATTAACAAATAAAGTGTTGGACGAGATTTGGTGGTAGAATCTGTTAAATAAATCGAATAAAAGTAATCAACAGGTCAGGAGTAGGATAAATCGGCTAGAGAAATTGTTTTAAAAGTAATGACATTTAGCTGTTTTAGTAAATGTGCCGATTGTAAGAGCGTGTCACTGAACTTATGCACGCTTACATTTAGTATGTCAACGCGTAATAGATTAACAGTTACAGCGTTAATGGGATCATTGTGAGGGAAGATATTCCTGATTTAACAGTTTGTAGTTTTTCATGAAAATAGTTTTCACCTTAAGAACCCTTTAAAGTGTATGGTAAATAAAACGTTTGCAGTTTCCACGATGTGTAAAAATTACGAATTTCTACTGTATTTGTTTCAAGGACAGAGGTGGAGGTAACCTTTTGGAATTTATATATTGAAAAATCTTTAAATAATAGCACTTGAAAATTGATATTAAAGTTTTCACTTCAAATTTGTTGAAGAAGAAAATTTTGTTAAACAATTCTAAATGTAACATGGATATGTGATTCAAAAAGGTCAATTTTTAACCAATATGTCTTCATTTCTTTCTTGGAACAAAATAAGAATCCTGTCAAATTTATTATGGAATGTCCTTTCTTTCTGTTTTTTTTTTTAAATCGAAAATTGTCAAAATATTTTATGGTTGCGATTTCAGTCTAGCATACTTATTAATTATATTATTTATAGTTTAATTGAATAATCTAAAATACAACATAATTTTGTTTGAATTACAAAGGATTGATACTGTGACTGAGCGCTATTTAAAATTAAAGGACTTTTTGTAAATGACGATGGTGTTGAATAGAAAATGAATTGACATTGACCTTCTTGACGGCCGAATGAATGGGTCGACATATGTATCATTTGACTACTAACCGAGACGACCAGAGGAAATTAAAGCATGAGTGATGGTAGATCAATTGACTAAATGGGTAGAAATAAAACTTTAGTCGTCTTACACACTAAAGAATCCACGAGGGTGGTAGTCAATGAGTTCTATCTAGGTTTAGGTTTCCATTCACAGATTAAAGCGATTAGGTAGAACTTTTTGAAAGCAACATGTTTAGATATGTCTGTGAATAATGTCTGATAAAAGAAAAAATAAAATAAGATAGTCATGAAATAATGACTGTAGTTACATAAAATGAAGGAAATTTTGAAAAAAAATCCAGAACAAAAAAAAAATAAAAAACCAAACTACAAATATAGGCTAAAGCATGCACGCGACACTGGGATTCGAGAGCTTAATTAGCAATGAGCAATATGTTACTCGATCATCAGACTTGACTCAAGCTAGCGAACAATTGTAGCGAACAATTAGCCAGCGAACTATTAGGAGGTATAACTAAAAACCACAATTTCACATAAGACAATCACGTTTTTTCGAGCTAGCGAACAATTACAGAGACCTAGCGGACAATTATGAGAATATTCAAAATATTAAACAAAAACGAATAAAAACGAATAAAAAAAATTAAAACAAAAGGGATACCATAAAGATTTTGACCAATTTATAGAGATTGTGACAGGCAACGACTGTAAAGGTAACATAGAGGAGACATTATCGTATCTAATAAGAAAAACTCCAGAATAGTTTATGTTTAAAAATCTGAAGTTAAGTTTAAAAAACTGAAATTGTAAAAACGAAAAGGGAGGATGGGGCATACATTAAGTTGATTTTTGACCCATTTATAGAGATTGTGACGGTACACGATTGTATAGGTGATGCAGCTGAGACATAAGCGTATCTATTAAGACAAACTCCAGGATGGTTTATGTTAAAAATCTGAAGTTAGGTTGAAAAAATTGTAATTAAAAACGAAAAGGGGGATACCTTAAGTTGATTGTTGACCCATTCATAGAGACTGTGACGGGCAACGACTGCCTATAGGTGATGTAGAGGGGACATTGGCGCAACGTTTAGAAAAATCTCCAGAGTGTTTATGTTCGAAAATATGAATTTACGGTTAAAAAACTGAAATTGTGAAATTGACAAAATGAGATTAGGGGGGTAGGCCAATTTAAGTTAATTTTGGACCAATTTCAAGAGATTGTGACGGACAACGACTATATAGGTGTTGTAGAGGAGACATTGGCGCATCGTTTAAGAAAATCTCCAGAGTGGTTTATGTTCGAAAATCTGAAGTTACGTTTAAAAACTGAAATTATGAAATTGACAAAATGAGATTAGGGGGGGTAGGCCAATTTAAATTAGTTTTGGACCAATTTCAAGAGATTGTGACGGGCAACGACTATATAGGTGTTGTAGAGGAGACATTGGCGCATCGTTTAAGAAAATCTCCAGAGTGGTTTATGTTCGAAAATCTGAAGTTACGGTTAAAAAACTGAAATTTTTATTGTGAAATTGACAAAATGAGATTAGGGGGGGGTAGGGCACTAAAAGAAAAATTTGGACCATTTTAAAGAGATCGTGACGGGCAACGACTATATAGGTGTTGAAGAGGAGACATTGGCGCATCGTTTAAGAAAATCTCCAGAGTAGTTTATGTTCGAAAATCTGAAGTTACGGTTAAAAAACTGAAATTGTGAAATTGACAAAATGAGATTAGGGGGTAGGCCAATTTAAGTTAATTTTGGACCAATTTCAAGAGATTGTGACGGCACCGACTATATAGGTGTTGTAGAGGAGACATTGGCGCATCATTTAAGAAATCTCCAGAGTGGTTTATGTTCGAAAATCTGAAGTTACGGTTAAAAAACTGAAATTTTTATTGTGAAATAGACAAAATGAGTTTAGGGGGGTAGGGCACTAAAAGAACAAATTGGACCATTTTAGAGAGATCGTGACAGGCAACGACTATATAGGTGTTGAAGAGGAGACATTGGCGCATCGTTTAGGAAAATCTCCAGAGTGGTTTATGTTCGAAAATCTGAAGTTACGTTAAAAAAACTGAAATTGTGAAATTGAGAAAAATGAGATTAGGGGGGGGGGGGGGGGGGGGTAGGCCAATTTAAATTAATTTTGGACCAATTTCAAGAGTTTGTGACGGGCAACGACTATATAGGTGTTGTAGAGGAGACATTGGCGCATCGTTTAAGAAAATCTCCAGAGTGGTTTATGTTCGAAAATCTGAAGTTACGGTTAAAAAACTGAACATTTTATTGTGAAATTGACAAAATGAGATAAGGGGGTAGGGCACTAAAAGAAAAATTTGGACCATTTTAAAGAGATCGTGACGGGCAACGACTATATAGGTATTGAAGAGGAGACATTGGCGCATCGTTTAAGAAAATCTCCAGAGTAGTTTATATGTTTGAAAATCTGAAGTTACGGTTAAAAAACTGAAATTGTGAAATTGAGAAAATGAGATTAGGGGGTAGGCCAATTTAAGTTAATTTTGGACCATTTTAAAGAGATTGTGACGGGCAACGACTATATAGGTGTTGTAGAGGAGACATTGGCGCTACGTTTAGAAAAATCTCCAGAG